GCTTAAACTGGTCGACTAAAATTTGTGAGCTTAAATTTGTGAATATTCAAACTCAGCAACTTCCTAGTAAAGAACAAATTCAGAGCTTTCCCCGTTTTCAAAATTTGCCTTTGAGTAACATTGTTGTAGTCAATAGCTTACAACAATGCCAAGCAATTGAAGCAGAATTAAAAACGGCGCACATTTTTGGTTTCGATACTGAGTCCAAACCTACCTTTAATAAAGGTGAAATACAAACTGGCCCACATCTTATTCAATTGGCGACATTTGAAAAAGCCTATTTATTTCAAGTTTCCCCAGATATTTTGGCTTTTCTAGCGACCTTTTTTGAAAATCCTGATCAGATTAAAGTTGGTTTTGGCTTAAAAAATGATGCACATTTATTCCGTAAAAAAGGCATGCAACTCAATAGTGTCATTGAACTTTCAAAATCCTTTTCGAGTTTTGGCTTCAATAATCCTTTAGGGATTAAAAATGCCATGGCATTGCTATTTCAAGTCAATTTCCCTAAAAGTAAATCAATTAGCACCTCAAATTGGGCACGTAAAATCCTCACAACGCCACAAATTGAATATGCAGCAGCAGATGCCTATGCTGCACTCTTAATTTTCGAAGCCTTACTGGATTTAGACTTAATTGCTGACACGATTGCACATACTCAACTTAAATTGAGCATTCGCGCCAATAAAAGCCTAAACTGACACTTAGAAATTGATCAAGTTTTTGCTAAGATGAAGATCAATAAATTCTTCATTGAGATTAAGCAAGGAGCGAAAGCATGCTGATCATNTTGATCAAGTTTTTGCTAAGATGAAGATCAATAAATTCTTCATTGAGATTAAGCAAGGAGCGAAAGCATGCTGATCATCCCGGCAATTGACCTGAAAGATGGTAAATGTGTTCGTTTAAAACAAGGTCGTATGGAAGACGATACCGTATTTTCTGATGATCCTGTCGCAACAGCACAGCATTGGGTAAATGAAGGCGCTCGTCGTTTGCATTTGGTTGATTTGAATGGGGCTTTTGCTGGAACACCAATTCATAAACCTGTCGTTGAAGCAATTGCGAAAGCACAACCTGAACTGCCAATCCAAATTGGTGGTGGTATTCGCTCTTTGGAAACAATCGAACATTACTTAGATGCGGGTGTTTCTTTTGTTATCATCGGCACCAAAGCAGTTCAAAATCCTGAATTTGTTGAAGAAGCCTGTAAGAAGTTTGCAGGACACATTATTGTCGGTATTGATGCGATCAATGGTATGGTTGCAACAGATGGCTGGGCAAATGTCACTGATGTAAAAGCTACTGATCTTGCAAAACGTTTTGCGGATGCAGGTGTATCTAGCATTGTTTATACCGATATCGCACGTGACGGTATGATGCAGGGTGTCAATGTTGAACAGACAGTAAACCTTGCGCAATACTCAGGTCTTCCAGTGATCGCCTCAGGCGGTGTAACCAACCTGGATGATGTGCGTAATTTAAAGGGTAAACCGGGTATTTTAGGTGCGATCACAGGTCGTGCAATTTACGAAGGCACATTAAACCTCCGTGAAGCGCAGCTGTTATTGGATGACCAAGGCTTTTAATTTTCCAGCCCAGATTGAATTAAAAAAGAGAACTTAGATGTTCTCTTTTTTATGTGTTAAAGAGGGTATTTGAATCACTACATTCAGATTTAAACCAATGTATTTTCAAAATGTTGCATTTCAATTTTACTTGCTAAAAAGGGCTTCATTGCCGTAAACCACTGTTTAAATTCATCTGTTTTCATAAAAACATCTGTATGGGTTTTAAGATCAA